ATATATATATATATATATAGAGTTGGGTTCACATGTGAATGGTTTTCAATGAAAGAAATGAGAATAAATCGTAGCCATTGGATCGGATAATCTAAGGGTTAAAAAAATGCCTATTTTTCACACTCATTAAGGGTAAATAGATAATTACAGCATACATAAATAATTAATTACATGTGGGACCATCCATAAACCGAATAACACACCTAACAATTCATCCCCTACCCGTCACTATCTCTCTCTCACACCCTAACACACACACACACTCTCTCTCTCTCCTCACTCTCTGCACAGAAAAAAAAATCTCACACATTCTCTCTCTCTCTCTCACACACACACATACACCATCAATACGTTACACACACATACACACACAGTTACATACATACACCCCCAGGCGCCGCCCAGTATCCTCGTCTCCGATCTCCCACCGGCGACCCATCCATCGCCGCCGCACAGCCACCATACGCCGGCGTTCCTGCGACGCACACATATAAATACAGTTGCATACACAAAGCATACAGTCGCCCAACATCATCATCTCCGACCTCCCACCGGTGAACTACCCATCGCCGCCGCACAGCCACCATACACCGGCATTCTAGGACGCACAACCATACATAATCACTCACACCATACACACACGCACACAGAGAGAACCATCGTCTTGCACCAGCCCCGCCGATCGCCACCGTCCGCCGCTCGCCGCCGAATCATCGACCTCCGCCGCCGGAGCCTCGACCATTGCCGTCTTCGGCAGCTCGAACCACGCCCTCCCGATGCGAGAGGTGGTGATACGGGGCTGTTAGAACCTCTGAAACTAGATTGTGTGTTTGGGCATCTTAGTTGAGAATTTGATTAATTCTAGGGACTTATTTGCAAATTTAATAATATTAATTATACTTCAATTTAACCACTGGGTCAATCTGTAATTATTAGAAGTTAATAAAAAATTATTTTGTATTGTTATGCATATATATTAATATATAAACTATTATAAAAAATATAAATATTAAAACAGAAAATCCGAATGAATCATAAGCAGTTTGAATAGAACTAGTATCATAGCCAAGTGAATGGGAAGCAAGAGTCAGAATTTAGTTGGGGAAAATCGGGTTTTTCCATCTCAAACTAGATTTATAATAATAAATAAATTATACAATAAAAATAATAAATAAATTATATATATAAATAATAAATAAAAATATATTTTATTTATTTAAGTTCATTCCATGTCCGATTTCTCCTATTAAAAATATTTTTCGATAACATATAATTTATTTAGTAATGTCGAAATTTGTGCAATTTATACAGTAAAATATTGCACTTTATAAAATATCACAATGCACTCTATAACACAACACATTGCAGTATATCAACACATTCCGCAACTCATGTGAACATGCCTCGCCAAAATGTTACGCAAATATAAATCTAAAATATGTATCTCGTAATACTTTAATTTCCATCACAACATATATCTAAAAAAAAAAAACATGGATGCTACCATAAATTCACTTTATACGTCATCATGTGGCACTTTATAAAACAACATGTTGCACTTTACAAACCAACACGCTGCAGTTTATCGCGATTATTAGATTGCACACTATAGATCGAAGCTAACCGAATTCAATTTTTTTCAACAGCAAATAATACAAAAATAATAAATAAAATCATTAATATTAAATATAATTAACAAATTATTTTGACTATTTATGATAATTTGGTTAACCGAACTTAAAAAACCATTCATTTTCAAATAGATTGTAACAAAAATTCGTTTGGTTCAATATGCACATTACAGACTGTTACAGTGCACCATATTGTTGGCCAAATTGCACTTTAATACTTATTAGATTGCACGGTATAATTCGTTTATCATTCAACCTCTAATGCATTTTTTTGTCAAGTTCTTTATATGTCAGTCCGATTATTGATTTTTTACTTTTATAATTTTGATTGTTTCATTACGGTCTAAAATCAAATAACCGCCCGACCCATATACAAATATTAATTTTTATTATATATTTTTTTCACGTGAATATTATTTCTTTAGAAAACATTAACATACTAAATATTTTTTTATAATACAAATGCTAATTTATTAATGATTTTAATATGCATCATTGCATATCATCACTTAACATTGTGCATTTTTTGTATTATTATTGTGCAAACATTGTCAAATATACACATGACATGTGCAAAGAAATGAACTTCTTATAATTGCAAATATGTATGAAGTTACCATGAAATAAAAAGAAAAACAAAAATGTGATTTTAGATGAATGTCAACTACGAAATATATGATCATGCTCAATTGAAAGCTGAGGTTTTTAATGATTTTATTATATGGTCTTGCAAATTATCCAAATTCCATGTCACACCATTAAATGGAAATAACCAGATTTCAAGACAAAGATACTTTCGTAACCCCTTTTACATTTCGAAACATACAAATATACTAACTTTTGATAATTGCAAATAGGTCCTCCATGTTTGTCAAATTCTCAAAGACATGACCCAAATTAATTTTCAGAATCTATAAACAAGTTTCCACCACCACCCCTACATGTCGTCTCTTCCGGCCACCTGCCACCTCCGTCTTAGATCTCAACATTGACACTCGCACGGCCAAATCCCGCCTTCTCCTATCCCGACGTGGTCGTCTTCCCTGTCAGATCTCATTAGCAACGACACCGATCTGAATCACTCATCTCAAAGCCCGATGTCGTCGAGTACAACGACGATGTTCCGCAGTACCACGTATTTTCACCCCGACGTGGTGCACCAGGTGTTATACCAGCGGTCCGACGGAGATTGGTGGTTGGGTCGGGTGGTCAGGCGATGGTCTGTGGTGTCGAGGGCTAAGGCAGTGGTGCACTGGTTTCCGGCGATGGTATGTTAGTGGTGGTGTCCGGCGATTGTGTGTGTGTGTGTGTGTGTGTGTTTCTGGGTGAAGGATAATAGATGGGGTGAGACGTTGGCAGGTGGATGTTGGGATTAACGTTGGGTGGTGGTGGGTCCTACATGATGATGGTTTTGGTATCCATGTCCAATCTACCCTTAATTTGTGGTCAAATATATATATATATATATTTGACCATAGATTGTACACTTATTCACTAAACTGCCACCTAATGTTTGACTGCCATATTTAATATTTGACTAGATCATGATCATTGATGTGTTGAATCAAATTGTCCATAATCATTCTTATTTCTTTCACTATCTACCATTCTCATATGATCCCTTCTATATATATATATATATATAGAGAGAAGGAATCATATGAGAATGGTAGATAGTGAAAGAAATAAGAATGATTATGTGCCACTAGATCTATCTTATCAATGGTTATGATTAAGTCAAAATTTAGTCAATCATTAATGACAATATGGTAAAATTAACATATATTGTGGTCAAATGTACACATTTGACCAATAATTAAGGGCAAGATGGACATTACATATTTACCTGGCGTTGGGCCCCACACACCAATACCGATCATATCACCCTCTCACTCTTTCTCTCTTATCTACATGTATCTATCTCTCCCACTCGCATCAATCTCTCCCTCTCTCGCACTTGTCGATCACACAACTTCACGGCAGCGGTAGAACCCCCCAACGGCAGCAGAACACTTCGGTCCTCGTCGATGTCATATCCTCTTCAGTGTCACGACCTCCGCCATGAAACTCATCGCCGCCGGCGAGCCAGTTTTTTCCCGACGATTTCTTCCGCTCTGACTTCGTCGCCGGACATCACCATTGCAGTCGCAATCACAGTCAGTTTTCTCTCCGCCGCCACTCGTCTTCTCCGCTAACTGTAAAGTACCTAAATTGAGCCCCAATTGTAAACACCTAAATTCATATTTTGGTTTTCATTTCGAGGTTTGTGTTCAATTTCATTCCACTATCACCGGGATCGATGGATGGTCATGATCACGTTTTCAGACCGACGAACTGTTTGGGTGAATGTCGTGACCTTTGGGAACAATAGTTTGGTTTTTTCAGATCTAGTACAGGGACTTACTTTTGTAAATTTAACAAGTCTTAGGGGCATATGTGCAGTTTTTTTTATATATATATAAGTCATAATCAATAAATTTAATATGGAATTAAATGTTTGTTTGGTTGGGTAGGTTGTGGGCATCAGATTTCATGCGCCATAATTTGTGCAATATTGCCAATAATAATAACAAGTAATTGAATTTGATTTCTTGTTTGATTTGTGGCTGTAAATTAATAATACTTTACATAAAAGAATATAATAAAAATATATTTTTCAATTTTTTTATATATTTAAGTTGTTTGGTTTTCTAAAAAAAACGAACAATATTGAGCCGACATAATAGCAGAAATTCTATGGTGCCACATGTGGCACCATATTATGGTGCCACAACATGATGTGTCACATTATGATTGGTGCCACACTATTACACATCATGTTGTGGCACCAATCATAATGTGCTACATGTGGC